TCTATGATTCTTCCAATTCAGGGATCTTTCTTTTTTTAGAGACAGAATCTCGCTCTTTTGCCCAGGCTGGAGTGCAGTGGTGCGATCTCGTTCGTCTCACTGCAACCTCCGCCTCTCCGGTTCAAGTAATTCTCCTGCCTCAGCCTCCCGAGTAGCTGGGACTACAGGTGCCTGCCACCACGCCCAGCTAATTTTTTGTATTTTAGTAGAAATGGGGTCTCACTGTGTTGCCCAGGCTGGTCTCGAACTCCTGAGCTCAGGCAATCCACCCACCTCAGCCTCCTAAAGTGTTAGGATTATAAGCGTGAGCCACTGCGCCTGGCCTTAGGGATCTTTCTTTCAGAAGCAGGGAGCTTTGGCCAGTGATAGAGAACTGATCACCATTAAAAACAGCTCAGATTGTTAAAAGAGTCTTTTGAAATTGAGCCAGAATTTCTCTGAGTGCTCACAGTTTCCATCTTCCACTATATAATGACCACTGCCGTGTCACTCCTGCTCATTGATGGCCCCAAAGAAGGATTTACCAGATGTTTTCTGCAGTGTGTTTTATATCTCCCTCTGCCATGTTGGGAGATAGAGGAGAACATTTTTAATAGAAAACAGGCTGGCTGATGAGGCTAATTAACCTTTGTTGATGATTTTCCCCAGGCTCAACCTCATCTAAAGACACTTGGGAAATTTCACATTGGTTCTGCCACTAAGCATGACAGACTTTCCATTCAAAATCAATGATCAATCCACATTTTTTTTTTTTTTTGAGACGGAGTCTTGCTCTGTCGCCCAGGCTGGAGTGCAGTGGCCGGATCTCAGCTCACTGCAAGCTCCGCCTCCCGGGTTCAGGCCATTCTCCTGCCTCAGCCTCCCGAGAAGCTGGGACTACAGGCGCCCGCCACCTCGCCTGGCTAGTTTTTTGTATTTTTTTAGTAGAGATGGGGTTTCACCGTGTTAGCCAGGATGGTCTCGATCTCCTGACCTCGTGATCCACCCGTCTCAGCCTCCCAAAGTGCTGGGATTACAGGCTTGAGCCACCGCGCCCAGTCTTTTTTTTTGAAACAGAGTTTCGCTCTTGTTGCCCAGGCTGGAGTGCAATGGCATGATCTTGGCTCACCGCAACCTCTGCCTCCCGGATTCAAACAATTCTCCTGCCTCAGCCTCCTGAGTAGCTAGGATTACAGGCATGCACCACCATGCCCAGCTAATTTTGTATTTTTAGTAGAGATGGGGTTTCTCCATGTTGGTCAGGCTGGTCTTGAACTCCCGACCTCAGATCTGATCTACCCGCCTCGGCCTCCCAAAGTGCTGGGATTACAGGCGTGAGCCACTGCGCCTGGCCAATCAACAAATATTTTTAAAGAATGGAGCTTATACATAACAAGGACTCTACTAAGCCATTTACATTCATAAGCCCAATTATTTCCCTAAGTATACATTTCAGGTAGGTATTATAGATGTCTGCATTTCACATAAAAGAAAACTGAGGCTTTAACAGCTTGGGTAAGTGGGAGAGAGAGTGAAAAATAGTCTGTTGGAATCTGAGTCCCTGTTCTCAGCAAGCACACTACCTCCTTGGAGCTCCCTACCTTTTGCATATCCCAAACTTTCTGGTCACCCTCTTCATACTGGAGGTCTTGGCTCCTCTTGGATCAGGATCAATTGCCTGCCTGGAATACTAGGCTTGCTGTTTCTTCAGGTCATCCTGGAGTAAGTTTTCCTCCTGAATTTATGATCACTCAATCTCACAACTTGCCCTTAGATACTCATCACGTTACTCAGACTTTTGGTGCAAGAGACCCCCTGAGGCGGAGAGCTCATGTGATATTGGATCAGTGTCCTTCTTGCCCAAGGCCCCTGGACTGTTTTCCTTGGTGAGATCTGTTGCAGTTTCTCTCCCCTCCTCTCAGACTGTCTCTCTTTCTGATTCCACACCCAACAACCATAGCCTTCTCCTTCCTGAAACCTTGACCCTGACATGCTTCACTATGGCTGAAGATGATGCCTTAACTTCTAGGCCTTTTTGCTGTCATTGTTCAGTTTTCTGCTTACTTACAAATATGTTCCTGGATCCCATTTTCTTTCTTCCAGTCTCTTTTCGTTTGAACATTTACTGTTGATTTTATTAACATATCTACTACATAATATATTCCAATTTGGCAACTAAGTTTGATGCTTCAGGTTAAATGTAAATTAATTCTGAAGTGTGCTATTCTCTTTATTACTTTATTAGCTGACAAAGATCTATTATATACATAATTATTTAAATGCATACTATAATTCATATATATGTGTATGTGTGTGTATAGATATATATTGGGGGGGTGGTGGGGAGGAGATGGAGCCTCACTCTGTTGCCCAGGCTGGACTACAGTGGCGCAATTTCTGCTCTCTGAAACCTCTGCCTCATGGGTTCAAGAGATTCTCCTGTCTCAGCCTCCTGAGTAGCTAGGATTACAGGCGCATGCCACCATTCCTGGCTAATTTTTGTATTTTTTAGTAGAGATGGGGTTTCACCATGTTGGCCAGGCTGGTCTTGAACTCCTGACTTCAGGTGATCCACTCCCCTTGGCCCTCCCAAAGTGTTGAGATTATAGACATGAGCCACTGCACCCGGCCTATAATTCATATATACATATATTTAGACATATAAATCATGATGATGTGATCCTTTAAAATAACCACCCCTTACTTCATGGGCAGTCCTGCAAACCAGGTAAGTACCAACAACAAAATTTCTCTTTATGCTGAATTTTCTTCTTTTGCCCATACCTCTTTCTTGTGTCCAGCAAAATTAATGCAACCCCTGAATTATTTTCTTTCCAAGACACAAGATGTTTTCTTATGATTTTTCATCTATACATATGCTTCCTTCCACATTCTTTATAGGAGAACAGTATGAGGACTTCAAATGCAGCAGAGACCTAAGCTCTACAATTTGAATTTCTTGCTGCCCTCCCTGCAAGGGGTAATCAGAACTCTATGGTGCACTGTATTTAGTAATGAGGGTAGTGTGGGAAGCAGAGGCCAGAGACTTGTGTTCCAGATGTGGTGTGTTTAACTTGCATAGAGTTTTCAAAAATTGTGTTAGTTGTCAACATTTAAAAATCGGGAGAGTTCTCCTAAGAATCTGAGTTTCTGGCTTCTCCGAGATTTGGCAATCTTGGGCTCTGCTTTCTCTGTGGCAGCAAACATCTGCAGCTGCATACCAGCTGCCCTTCCTTAGAAGAGCCTTTCCTCTTGTATAGCTAGCTGGCTTCCCTCATTTATATTAGGTGACCAGAAACTTTATGAATGTGAGTTGGTGACCCCAGTATTTGATATCAAGTCTCCAAGTCTCAACACACATGCTCCTCCCCTTTTGATGGAGTTACGTCCAGATACACTTGAAAATATTTTTTTTTTTTTTTTTTTTTGAGACGGAGTCTCGCACTGTCGCTCAGGCTGGAGTGCAGTGATGTGATCTTGGTTCACTTCAAGCTCCGCCTTCCGGGTTCACGCCGTTCTCCTGCCTCAGCCTCCTGAGTAGCTTGCCACAATGCCTTGGTTTTTTTTTTTTTGTATTTTTAGTAGAGATGGGGTTTCATTGTGTTAGCCAGAATGGTCTCGATCTCCTGACCTCGTGATCCGCCTGCCTTGGCCTCCCAAAGTGCTGGGATTACAGGCGTGAGCCACCGTGCCTGGCCTTGAAAATATCTTGTCAAAAATGCATTTAATACACCTAACCTGCCAAATGTCACAGCCCACCTTAAACATGCCACTTAAATTAGTACACACTTGGGCAAAATCATCGAACAAAAAGCCTATTTTATAATAAAGTGTTGAATATCTCATGTAATTTATTGAATACTGTACTGAAAGTGAAAAGCGGAATGATTGTATAGGCACTCGAAGTATGATTTCTATTGAATGCATATCACTTTTGCACCATCGTAAAGTTGAAAAACTGTAAGTGTGGAACCATCATAAGTCATATTTGAATTGTATTTATTTCTGGGATGCCCTATAGATTCTTCCTACTGGTGTGGTCTCCAGACAATAGCATCAGCATCACGTGAGAGCTTGTTGGAAATACAGAATCTCAGGCCTCACCTCGGACCTACTGCATCAGACTCACTTTAACAAGATCCCAGGTGACTCGTATGCACGTTAAATTTGTAAAGCACTGGTGTAGAAGCCACCTTATCTTCCTCCTTCCTCTGCCACCCTCTCACTCTAAGAGACTGCTCTGTTAACTTCTGGGCGCCATGTAGAGCATCTGTGTTCATTACCATCTCACCACTTCATTGAGGGAGAATTCCCATGATGGCACTTGCACATGTCTGTCTGGAGAGGTTACCATTATGAACATCTACCTAGTTTGAAAGGTCTTAAGAATTCTCTAAAAGGAATTTGAAAACTCCCTGTTATCCTTATGTGGTTCCTCTCTCTATGGAGGAATGTGAGAATTGGTGGAAAAAAGCACTTATAAAAGGGAAAGTGCTAGCAGGCCCCTATCTACACTTCTTTTGTTATGATTAATTCACTTACTTTGCCCCGCTTATAAGGGCTTCTGGACCAGTTTGGTTAGTTCTAGCTTAGTGACATTAATAGCAGTATGTGGTCCACCACCTCTCAGCTCAATTTCCTCACCTATAAAATGAGAAATAACAGCACCTAACTTAAAGAGCATGAGAATTAAATGAATTATTAATAATACTAATGAAATGTTTAGAACAGAACCTGAATATATAAGTGCTTAATAAATGTGAGCTCTTATTATTAATCGAGTGCTTACTCAGGCCATGTTATAAGCGCCCAGAGATTGAACCCAGAGGTTAGCAGGCAGAGTCTGTTAGAGTCAGAAGGTGGTTACCAAGAGTACATTTAGAGGAAAGAGCAAGAGAAGGTGGCTTCTACAGCAGTACTTTTCAGATTCCCTTATTTAAGGTCACTCTCCACTTAGTCATATGGCAATTCTACAATTTCTTAATCATTTTCTTTTAACTTATGCTTTCCTAACGACTTACCACCTAAGAGGCAGAATAGGATAACACCAGCAAAGACCATCCTTCTCATTCTGATTTCCAAGGCAAAAAGGAGATGAAAGGAAAGACACGTCCCACTGTTATATCTTTTCTGGGGGAACAATAAAGTTACACATTTACGTTAGCTATTTTAAAAAGGGAAAGGACTGGTTAAGTTTTATTAATTTCATTAAAACAATATAAATAAGTTTATTTTGTGAAGGAGGAAAAATAAGGTACCTGTCTTTATAAAAAATTCACCATATGGCTGGGCGCGGTGGCTCACGCTTGTAATCCCAACCCTTTGGGAGGCCAAGGTGGGTGGATCGCCTGAGGTCAGGAGTTCAAGACCAGCCTGCCCAACATGGTGAAGCCCTGTTGTGTCTACTAAAAATACAAAAATTAGCCAGGTGTATTGGTGGGTGCCTGTAATCCCAGCTACTTGAGAGGCTGAGGCACAAGAATCGCTTGAACCCAGGATGCGAAGGTTGCAGTGAGCCGAGATCAGGCCTCTGCACTCCAGCCTAGGGGACAGAGCGAGACTGTAAAAAAAAAAAAAAGCCATAAAACTTCTAGTTCCAGAACATTTTAAGTTATCTTATTACCAAATATCACCTTCTCTCTTCACTTTTTCCTCAGAATTATAATGGTTTCATACAAAAATATGAAGTGAAATAGATGGTGTTTCTAGAATAAGATCCTGTTAGAAATCCTTCTAACTATTGGCCAAAAGGAAAATACACGTATTCATTCATGCTTCTTTATGAATTATTATTATTATTATTGAGACGGAGTCTCACTCTATTGCCAGACTGGAGTGCAATGGCGTGATTGCAGCTCACTGCAACTTTGGCCTCCCAGGTTCAAATGATTCTCCTGCCTCAGCCTCCCGAGTAGCTGGGATTACAGGAGCGTGCCACAACACACAGCTAATTTTTGTATTTCTAGTAGAGACGGGGTTTCACCATGTTGGCCAGGATGGTCTTGATCTCCTGACTTCGTGATCTGCCCACCGTGGCCTCCCAAAGTGCTGGGATTACAGGTGTGAGCCACCATGCCCGGCCTATGAATTATTAATAATACTTTCACTGCAAAAGACCATATTTATGAGGGAAAAGCATGTGATAGTTAATGATAGTTAATACTTATTAAAATGAAGGGAAGAAATTGTAAGATTGGGTAAAGTATAATATTTCAGTTATTTATGACCTACCTATCTTTTTCATTAAGGTACTATGGAAATTTTCCTGGGTCTGAACTTCCTTAAAAGGATGAAAATGAGTACGATTTCTGATGTGATGAAGTCTGTTACAACGGAAAGCAACACTCTGATCCACTAGATTCCAAACGGTTTAAACAGTAAAAATTGACCAAGTAAATGTAAATATTTTTTCACTTGAACACTCTGATCTGTTTGGAACTTAATTTCCTTACTCATGAAATTAATATAATAAGGCTAAGTTGGTCAGTAGTTAAACTAACTGTAAATTTGGCTAAAGATTTCTATGTTCACTATGCAAAGATTAGGTAATTCAGAAATAAACAGCCTTATGGGCATACTATCTATTTATTATGTGAAGTACTTGGTCTTGATTTTTTAAAAAAATATCATATAGTCTTTAAAGCAGAACTTAGTGCATTCAGAAAGCAATTTGAATTTTTAAAAAAGTTTATTTCCAACTTAATATATAGTTCCAAATTAATATACATTATTTTTGAAAAACATGAAAGAATTAAGAATGTTAAAATCCCCTTTGACCATGTTCCAGTCAAACCCAGTGTCTCCTCCAAATGTAACCACATTATCAATATGTTGGGTATCTTTTTTTTTAAAAAAAAATCATTTCCTAAAGTTTATTCAAGGGCACTTTTTCTTCTGTGCATTTTCATCATAACACTTATAACAGGGTTATGTATAATAATACTTTCTCTTTTACTTTTAGAAAAATAATATAATACTCTACATATTATTCCCCCCTTATATTTCATTCAAAAATATGTTTAAAATCTTCCTATGTCAGTCTTTCAAACTTTCATTATTTTTTATTGCTATATAATATTTTCTGGTATGGATACATCATATTTATCCACTTCCTGGTTGATGAGCACAGACATTCTTTTTTTAAAAATGACGAACAATGCTGTAATGTGTGTATATGGACGTGGGCACATAGGCAAATTGTTTCTCTAAGACGGATCCTGAAAATTGGGATTGCTTGTCCCAAGGCCTATCAAATTGCCCCTGAAAGTAGCTATAGAAATTTTGCCATTCACTGGCCGGGCATGGTGGCTCACGCCTGTAATCCCATCACTTTGGGAGGCCGAGGCAGGCAGATCACGAGCTCAGGAGTTCAAGACCAGCCGGGCTAACACGGTGAAACCCCCTCTCTACTAAAAATACAAAAAAAAATTAGCCGGCGTGGTGGCCGGTGCCTGTAATCTCAGCTACTCGGGAGGCTGAGGCAGGAGAATCACTTGAAACCGGAAGGCAGAGGTTGCAGTGAGCAGAGATTGCGCCACTGCCCTACAGCCTGGGCAGCAAGAGCAAAACCCCGTCTCAAAAAAAAGGAATTTTTCCACCCACCAGCAGAGTATGAATACTTCCCCCCCATGTCCTCATTAATATTGAATCAAAGATTTGCAAAATAATGGTTATTAATAGCGAAAAGTCTAAATTAACATTATCTTTTGCCTAGCAAGTTGCAGAGATGAAGAAATAGATGCATTATTGACAAAGGGTGTTCTCAAATACTCACTTTTAGTCGAAGGGTGGAGAAATGTAAATGAGTGTGTGTGTGTATGTGTGTGTGTTAATACATGTTAGTACCTATACTCAAATATACGTACATACATACATAATTTATATCACCCCATAGCTATAGCTTTGTAGCCTGTTCTTTTTAAAACTTAACTTCATTTTTTGAGTACTTATTTTGTCATTAAATATTTCTTTCTTTTCTTTTTTGAGACGGAGTTTCGCTCTTGTTGCCCAGGCTGGAGTGCAATGGTGCAATCTCGGCTCACCGCAACCGCCTCCCAGTTTAAAGCGATTCTCCTGCCACCTCACCCGGCCAAGAACATATTTTTAAAGCTCCTGTAATATTCAACTATATAGAGTTACTATAATTTATTTAATCAACCCCTCATGTTTGGGGATCTTTCATTATAATTTTATTTGTGTTTCAAATTTTCTTTAGGGTCAGTTCATAGAAACGAAATTATCAGAACAAAAACATAAACCTTTTCTATAAGTTGGCCGGGTGCAGTGGCTTACGCCTGTAATCCCAGCACTTTGGGAGGCTGTGGCAGGCGGGTCACCTGAGGTCGGGAGTTCGAGACCAGCCTGACCAACATGGAGAAACCCCATCTTTACTAAAAATAAAAAATTAGCTGGGCGTGGTGGTACATGCCTGTAATCCCAGCTACTCAGGAGGCTGAGGCAGGAGAATTGCTTGAACCTGGGAGGGAGGGGTAGCGGTGAGCTAAGGTCACGCCATTGCACTGCAGCCTGGGCAATGAGAGTAAAACTCCGTCTCAAAACAAAACAAAACCCTTTTATATAAGCCTTTTGATACACATTGGAAAATAGTTTTCCAGAAAGATAATAGCAATTTAGAGCTACAGTGTGGCATATTCATCTTCAAATTCATGACTAGACCATAATAACCCCTCAATTAATTCTACTTTTGCTTCCATTCCTTCTTGAGATTTTCCTCTTGTTTAAATGTCTTCATTACAAGTTTTTCTTTGGCTCTAATGTCCCACTATTAAAAATTTATTTTCTTGATTGAAGGTGACATTATCTGATTAGTCGATCAGCAAACATAATTAATGTTCATACAAATATAAAGTCGTAGGTATTAATGAGGATTTTTTTCGTGGTATATATTATCTGTTTTTCCTTTCCTTTAGTGAAAATTGTTTTTCTGACACCTCCTAATTGATATCGGTAGGAAATAGGTTTTGGTAAAAACAAAGAAATCAATATGGAATATGGATCCCTGAAAGCGGCCACTGGTATTTCGGAGTTGTGGGTGGGCATTTTCATCTGAGATGCTCTAGCAAAGCTACCTGGATACAAAATAGTAATACTCAAGTCAATAGCAGTATTTACTGTATGATTCCATTGAATGTATGAAGTTCAAGAAAGGTGACACTTGTGTGTAGTAATTAAAGATGGAGTAGTGGTTATCTCTGAGCAGGAGGACTGACATGAGAAGGGGCATGAGAAAGCCTTCTAGGCTGATGAAAATGTCTTATATTTGATCTGGGAGGTGAGCATATGTGTTTTTGCAAATATAAAGTGTTATTGAGCTGCATGCACATCTTAGATTTGGACATTTTACAGATTAATACCTTCAGGGGTGTATTTGTTTTCATTTCCCTCCTCTTTAGTGATAAATCAGTGGAAAAATATTGCAAGCATCTCTGTATGAGTTAGGAATTTACTGAATGGTGTTAAGCACAGGAGTGACATTATTTATTTTTAAAAAATGTATTCTCTGCTATGATCCAGACAGGCTGATTTCTTTCTTTTGTTTCTTTCCTTTCCTTTTCTTTCTCTCTCCCTTCCTTCCTTCCTTCCTTCCTTCCTCTTTCCTTTCCTTTTCTTTCCCTTTCTTTCCTTTTCTCCCTTCCTTCCTTCCTTCCTTCCTTCCCTCCCTCCCTCTCTCCCTCCTTTCTTTCCTTCCTTTCTTTCTTCCTTTTTTTCCTTCCTTCTTTCCTTCCTTCCTTCCTTCCTTCCTTCCTTCCTTCCTTCCTTCCCTCCTTCCTTCCTTCCTTCTTTCTTTCTTTCTTTGATGCAGTTTCACTCTTGTTGCCCAGGCTGTAGTGCAGTGGCATGATCTCAGCCCACCGCAACCTCTGCCTCACGGGTTTAAGTGATTCTTCTGCCTCAGCCTCCCAAGTAGCTGGGATTACAGGCATGCACTACCATGCCTGCATAATTTTGTATTTTTAGTAGAGATGGAGTTTCACTAGGCTGATCTCAAACTCCTGACCTCAAGTGATCTACCCACTTCAGCCTCCTAAAGTGCTGGGATTACAGGCATGAACCGCTGCGCCCAGCCGATTTCATTTTTTTTTTTTTAAAGGAAATAGTTCTGCTAGAAGAGTGAATGTTAGGTTGGCAAAGATGAAAAAGGATGCAGGGAAAAAGGTAGGTGATGCATGAAGGGATGGCAAGGAGGAAACAGGTGAGAGGAATGCTGAGGGCTCAGTGTTCAACATCTTAACTCTACTGGTCTGTGTTTGAGGGAAAAACTTAGTCTTAATCTTCTCTACCTCTAGTACTCCACTTAACACCCTTTAAAGGAATGATCTTTTTATATTATCTCTCATCGGACCGTTAGTTCCCTGAGTGAAGAGATGCTATCTTGGTATCTCCAGTTTCCAACTGGGTGCTTGGCATAGAATAGGGGTTTGGTAAATGTTTTCCAAATGAATGGGATATGTTTGATGGGAAGAAGATAAGGTGAAGGAATTCCTGGGTAGTATGGAGATGAGAATCTGTGAGAAGGATAAGTGACACTGGGTGACAAGGATGGATGTGAGGTTGGATGGGGTGCCCTTGGGCTGGTGCGGGCTTTGGTTCCAAGTGTTGTTTAAGACCTGAAGGGATGAGCTGGCTTCAGTTTTTTCTAAAGATTGCTCAATTGTTTTGCTGCCTCTTAAGACGCTTCTCTTTTGGCGGTAGGAAGAAAGAATTAGCTGGTGTCTAGGATGTAACCTTCCCAGTGAAATCCTAGAATCCAAGTCAGTGAGGAGTTCAGAGTCAAATTTAAAGTTGGACAGACTGGGGCAACTTGGGAGAGTCTCTCCAGGCAAAGCAGGACACAGCTGTCTGCTTTCCTGGGTGGTCACCTTTGTGGTAACACGAAGAACCCTTGTGATCTTAACTTACTCCATCATCCTGGGCTTCAGTGTACTCATTTCTATAATGAAGGTACTGGAATATAGTATTCTGTGGTTCCACTAACTCATAAAGAAGGCAGCTCTTTCTGTTTTATTCCACCAGTTTTTAGTGAGCAGAATGAGATAGTCTAAAATCACAGTGTAGGTAAGAACTCCTTCGTAGCAAAAAATGTCATTTTTAGTCAACAAACTTTAAGTTCTCATTCACAAGTCAGAGTGTATTTGCAGATACATGTACTGGTGCCTGTCGCAGTGGACACACAGTTGCACGCATTGCAGAACACCACCAGTGAGTCACATTTTGGATGCTTGCCCCAGTATTCTGGTAGATACTGTAATGACAAAAAACATGAAGAACATAATTTGAATTTTGTGCTGGGGAGGGTAAAAGCAGACTTCAAAAGCACTGTAATACTTATTGCAAGAGGAGCGACTTACCTGTGGAGTCATTGTCATCCTAGTCTCTGTTGATTAATAATGAATTGTATTGCTATAAAGCTGGAAAACATGGCCAGCAACCGGCTTGCATCTAGACCTGGCAAATTCTTTTCTTTTCCAGTTTTGGTGTAAAAGTCTACCATGTCTTATGACTTTAATTTGTCTAGCTTAGATAGAAGTCTCCAATTTATCATTTCTCATTCCGAATCCTTCGAGATGTTTTGAATTAAAAAATGTTGCATTGACAGGTAAGTTTGGAAACAAGCTATATATGATATTCTCTAATGAAAAATTTTAATGTGCTTTGAAATATTAAAAAATTCTGAGAATTACTGAGGTAAAGAAACTTTGTTTAAACTTGATCCGCCTTTCCTGAATTTACTTGAACAGCTGGTTATTTTTTTTCCCTTCAACCTCCCCCTCTCCCTCTTTTTTTTTGAGACGGAGTCTTGCTCTGTGGCCCAGGCTGGAGTGTAGTGACACAGTCTGGGCTCACTGCAGCCTCTGCCTCCCAGGCTCAAGTGATTCTCATGCCTCAGCCTCCTGAGTAACTGGGATTACAGGAGTGCACCACCACCCCTGGCTAATTTTTGTACATTTAGTAGAGACAGGGTTTTGCCATGTTGGCCAAACTGCTCTTGAACTCCTGACCTCAACTGATCCGCTCGCCTTAGTCTCCCAAAGTGCTGGAATTACACACATGAGCCACCGCACCCAGCCTCCTTTAATGCTTTTTAATATCCTTAAAAACAAGTCCTGGTTCAAATAGTGTCCCACTAATAACTATAGTCACCATAATGATGATGATAGTATGCAACTGTCTCTCACTTTACACTTTACAAAGCATGTTTGGCTTCTTAATTACCTTCACAAAACCTTCTGATATTAGGGATAGAAAGCGGTTTTAGTCCCATTTGAGGAATTCAGGCTGAGAGAGATTACAAGATTTCCTTGATATGACACAATGAGTCAATTGTAGATCTGGGGAAGAAAAACAACCAAATGTCCTCATTTTTCATGATGTTGTCAGAAATAAGGTGTACATCTTCTAAACCATCAAGGGAAAAATTCTGGAATAAGAAAAAATAGCTAGTCAGTTTAAAATGTATAAGAAAGGAGGAAAACATGAATAGATCAACAAGGCGAAATTTGGTTCTTAGAAATAGTAATAAAATCCACAAACTCTTAGTACAATTATTAAGAATAAGGATATGAAGAAAAAAACCCTCAAAATGATGATTCAAATGACTATTGGTTTGTTACCAGAAAACCATAAAAAGTAAGAAGACAGTGAAGCAACATAATTGAAGGACACAGAGAAAAGAATGGCCAACCCTGAATTCTACAACCAGCAAAGGAAAATATTCTTTATAAATGCAGGCAACATAATGGCATTCTTAGGTGAAGGAAAACTAACAGTTTGTCACCATCAGACCTACTCTAAATGTAGAGTCTAAAAGACATGCTGTAGTTCTAAGTTCTGCAAACAGCAGGGAAATGACACCTGGGACAGCCTGGGAATTTCAAGAACACAAAAATGGCAATATTTGGTAAACCAAATAGACTACTTTTTTATTAAGTTCTTTAAAATACATGTGATAGTGGAAAGCAAAAATTATAACATTGTCTGTGGGGTATTCAATGCAGTACAAACAACAACTATAACATAAAGAGAGGAGAAAAAAAGGGGCCATTGTGGTTGAAAGGCCTCTATATTTTATGTGAGGTGGCAAAATATTAGCTCTAAGTAGACTGTGAAAGGTATATATATTGTAACCCCCACAGCAACTACTTAAACACCACCACCAAGAAGTACAGTCTCTTAGTGATCAGTAGAACAAGTAGACAGAAAATTGGCAAAGATAGAGAAGACTTGGAATTCTTTTAAGTGTTCATAGAATATTCACTAAGACAGACCATATAATGATTCATATAACAAACTTTAAGTTTTTAAATAATACAAATCATGTAAATATGACTATAATGAAAGCAAATAGACTTTCATATCTATTTCATGTGGGTGACAGATTTTTGGCAAAGGTCACGAAGACACAGTGTGTTCAACAAATAATGCTGAAACAATCACCTGTTCATGCCCTTTCCCTAAAAAATACACCTCAACTCATACCTTACACTTTATACCAAAATTAGTTAGAAATGCATTATAGAGTTAAATATAAAACACAAAACTATAAATTTTCCAGAATAAAACATAGGATAATTTAATTTTTTTTTTTTTGAGACAGAGACTTGCTCTGTCACCCAGGCTGGTGCAATGGTGCAGTCACGGCTCACTGAAGCCTTGGCCTCCCGGCTCAAGCGATCCTCCCACCTAAGCCTCCCGAGTAGGTGGGACCACAGGTGCACACCATCATGCCCAGCTCATTTTTAATGTTTTTTTTTTTTTTTAGAGAGACAAGGTCTCACATGTTGCCCAGGCTGGTCTCAAACACCTGGGCTCAAATGATCCTCCCGCCTCAGCCTCTCAAAGTTCTGGGATTATAGGCATGAGCTTATAGGAGAATTTTTGTGAATATGAGTTAAGCAGAGTTCTTAGACACCAAAAGCATGATTCACAAAAGTAAAACAAAAACCAAAAAACAAACAAAAAAAACCCTAATAAATTGAACTTCATCAAAACTAAAAATATTTGTTCTCCAAAAGACAAGAATGAAAGGACAAGCCATGGACTGGAAAAAAATATTTGTAAATCATGTGTCTGATAAAGGCCTTGTATTCAGAAAACATTAAAAATTTTCAATAATATGAAAACAAACAGCTCAATTAAAGAAAAATAAGCAAAGGATCTAAACAGACATTTCCCCAGAGAAGATACATGGATGTCAGATAATCATATAACAAGATGCTCAATATCATGAATCATTAGCAAAACACAAATTGAAATTATAATTAGATACCAATATACATCTATATTGAACAGCTTAAATAATGTAAAAAGAAACCTGAAAATACCAAGTAATGGTGAGGATGCAAAGCATTTGGAAATCTCATTTATTGCTGGTGAGAATGGATCATGGCACAGCCTCTTTGGAAAAGAATTTGGGAGATATCCAATAAAGATAGACATATACTTACCATATAACTTAGGAATCCCATGCCTATATAACTACTTGGAGAAATGAAAGTGTACATTCATGCAAAAACTTGTATGTGAATGTTTACAGCAACTTTATTGATAATTGCCTCACACTGGAAATAGTCCAGATGCCCTTCAATTGATGAATGGATAAACAAACTGTGCTTTGTCCATACAATAGAATACTATGCAACAATGAAAAATAATGAAATATCGGTGCACAAACAACATAAATGGATCTCAATTTCATTATACTGAATGACAGAAACCATACCAAAAAAGCTACATATTCTTGAATACCAGTTACATGACACTCTTGAAAAGGCAAAACATTTTCCTGGAGAGTGGTTGACACAGGCTAAAGGCGAAAGAAAGGATTGACTACGAAAAGACAGCACGGCCAGGCGCAGTGGCTCACACCTGTAATCCCAGCACTTTGGGAGGTCAAGGTGGGCGGATCATGAGGTCAAGGGATTGAGACCATCCTGGCCAACATGGTGAAACTCCATCTCTACTAAAAATACAAAAATTAGCTGGGCATGGTGGCACACACCTATAGTCCCAGTTACTTGGAAGGCTGAGGCAAGAGAATCACTGGAACCCAGGAGGCAGAGGTTGCAGTGAGCCGAGATCGTCCCACTGCACTCCAATCTGACAACAGAGTGAGACTCTGTCAAAAAAACAAAAACAAAAACAAAAACAAAACACCCTAATGACTCATCCAAAAAAGTCCTAGATCTAATAAATGAATTAAGTTTCAGGATACAAAATCAATGTACACAAATCAGTAGCACTGCTATATACCAAGAATGACTAAGCTGAGAATCAAATTAAGAACCCAATCACCTTTACAATAGCTGCAAAAAAATAAAATAGGAAGAGACCTAACCAAGGAGGTGAAAGATCTCTGCAAAGAAAACTACAAAACACTGCTGAAAGAAATCATAGATTACACAAACAAATGGAAACACATCCCATGTTCATATATGGTTAGAATCAATATTGTAGGCCGGGCGTGGTGGCTCAAGTCTGTAATCCCAGCACTTTGGGAGGCCGAGACGGGCGGATCACGAGGTCAGGAGTTCGAGACCATCCTGGCTAACAAGGTGAAACCCCGTCTCTACTAAAAAATACAAAAAACTAGCCGGGCGAGGTGGTGGGCGCCTGTAGTCACAGCTACTCGGGAGGCTGAGGCAGGAGAATGGCGTAAACCCGGGAGGCGGAGCTTGCAGTAAGCTGAGATCTGGCCACTGCACTCCAGCCTGGGCGACACAGCGAGACTCCGTCTCAAAAAAAAAAAAAAAAAAAGAATCAATATTGTAAAAATGACCATACTGCCAAAAGCAATCTAGAGATTCAATGCAATTTCTATCAAAGTACCATCATCGTTCTTCATGAAACTAGAAAAAACAATCCTAAAATTCATATGGAACCAAAAAAGTGCTCACATAGCCAAAGCAACACTAACCAAAAAGAACAAATCTGGAGGCAGCACATTACCCAACTTCAAACTATATTACAAGACTATAGTTACCAAAACAGTGTGGTACTGGTATACAAATGGGCAGGTAGACCAATGGAACAGAATAGAGAACCCAGAAATAAAGTCAAATACTTATAGCCAACTGGTCTTCAACAAAACAGATAAAAAACATAAAATGGAGAAAGGACAATAAATGGTGCTGGGATAACTGGCATGCCACATGTAGAAGAATGAAATGGGACCCTCATCTCTCATCTTATACAAAAATTAACTCAAATTGATCAAAGACTTAAATCTAAGACCTGAAATCATAAAAATTCTGGAAGATAACATTGGAAAAACTCTTCTAGACATTGGCTTAGGCAAAGAATTTATGACCAAGAACCCAAAAGCAAGTGCAACAAAAACAAAGATAAATAGCTGGGATCTAAT